GCAATTGGTTATTGCTATTCAAACGGTCGTCAGGCTTGACTATGACACTCGCAGGCTGTCTCCATATTCTTCTGTACTCAAACCACACTCATAAAAGAGACCAGACGATCACACCTGGAAAAACCCGTGCCTGCTTCACCCACAGGTCAGGCTCTATGACTTGTCAGAAACCTGACCAGGTCTCAGTTCTCTTCCGAGTCCACTTTGCTCAAGCTCTGCTATAACTGACATGTATTTAAATTCACTGGATCTGTGGTTGAAAGTCTCCACTAATTCGTACGTCTCGGAACGATCCGTCGCATAGAAAAGCTGCACCTGATTCGCCAAGCACTGTGCTTCATGGACCACCTGTGAGTTAAAACAAAGAACTTGTTACCATCTGGCTTTGTTGCATTTTGTTGTATTTGAGTTGAAAAAGATGCTTCAGCAGCTGAAAGGCTGCAGTCCTACTCAGCAAATGACTCAGTTCCCAGTTATCTTAGTTTGGTGGCAAATCTCTTGACAAACCACCTTCCTTTTGTTCCTGACCTACTTGCACACTTAGCACCGTGCCTACAAACTGCTCTCCTGCTGAGCACACACCTCAGAGGTCAAAGAAGTCTTTCACGATCACTGCCCACTCTAAGGCACTGGAGAGAGACCAAAGTCTCATCTTTCCCTTCTTACGGTTGACTTATTTGAAAAATCGATTGTTTATTCCGAGATACAACAGGGCAAGTGCAGTTCCAATGACTCCTCTGTTTCAGAACTGGTGTAAGCAGGTCAGTTAGAAGTGGGATGGTTTAGTTATCTCGTTCCACCAGTATAATCCGTCGTGCCGTAAGTCCTAGCACTGCACTGTTACACACGTGCAAACAACTACACTCACGCAGAGAGAAAAGAGCAAAGGCATGCAGAAACCTAACACAAAGCTCTGGAGGTCTCCTGATTTGACAAGTAGTATTAAGCTTCAAAACACTCTTTTAACTTGTTGGCAGGTGACAGGGGCTTTCATTTAAATTTGCTTCCATTAATATGAAACCCAGAAGCTTTTTTTTTTTTTTTT